TCTCTCTATATATATATATATATATATATATATATATATATATATATATATATATATATATATATATATATATATATATATATATATATCATTTCAATAATAATATAGTATAATATAATAATAGTAATTTATTATGTATATGACATGAAGAACAAGCATGCAAGTAAATGAATTTTTTATGTAACTTTTTTGCAACCATGCTTATTTCATCTTTGTTTTTATGATAGATTTAACGATTAGTCGCATATCAACATATCTCGCACGTATTTTCTTAAGTATCTCGTTTCGCAGGAGAGTTGCTACTTAAAATTCGTATTATAAGTATATAAGGCATGCACGCGCATAAAAAAGATGACGTAATTCGATAAGTCGGATATTGCTACTTAGAATGCTCAGAAGGGAACTTACACTCGCTCGCTCCATCGATCGATCAATTTCAATCGCATCGCCTGGTAATATAGTAATCGACAATCACGGAGAGCGTACACAGAAAGTAGACGGCGTGGCTGAGTGAGCATCGTTGAGATCGATTGCAGCCGTAACCCACACATTCGCAGACAAGTTGATAACTATCTCGGCTATAGCGTCCCCGATAGCACTCCTTTTGGCTGTTGCGCGATTTCGCGCATTCGCGCATTGTTAGGTCATTATGCGAATCCATAAAGTAATCTGCGAAGAATTGTACGGACTTTTTTTTAAATATTATCAGTTTGTTAGAACTGTTGGCTTAACAACGTGACATGCTTCACTCAGGATGTGAGATGTATCGCGAATCAACTCCATTAAATGATCACGAAAATTCGCAAGTTACTGTCCCTAACGGCTATAGCTGTGGTTAGTAGATGCTGGCAGATGGGGGAAGCTAAATGCGAGAGACTGTAACTCAGTAGTAGTAGTGATAATACTCGGATATACTCACACACATAAACAGCTTTGCGACAATAGAGATGACCCGATGGGCACAATTTCAGGTATTTAAAGTGCACTTTGTTAAGAGTGCAATTCTGGTCCTTTTTGCTGTTGCACTGATAACATTTCATTGCAATGCATTCTTTTTTTATAGTTGTTACCATTGATTGATGCCAGTATAATTGGGAATAAACATTTAAAAGAAACTGCATTAATAATTAAAAAAATATACATAATATTTAAGCATTATCAATAAATAAATAAATAAATAGATTTATTTATTTACAAACACATAAGAAGAGTAAACGGAGAAAATTAATAGATACATGATTATAATAGATATTGCCTTTATAATTTCTATTTTAATGTGGGCAATCAACTGAAGTAATTAACTAAAAAGTTATAATTCTCTCATTTGATTCTTACCGTTTTGGAAAATATACAAAATTAATAATATTTGCAATATGTAAAGTCTTATATGCATTGTAAACTACGTTTCTTCATGTAGGCCATACAGCATCGAAAGAATCACACGAGTGCAATAGGAGTATATATCCTACGAAAAGATATCTCCGTAATATAAAATTAACACGAATCAAATGATTTTTATTTCACGCTAATTACACTGGCGAAAATTAAGTAGGAGAATTTGTATTTTATCAGCAAAATTAACTGCGTTACATAACCACAAAAATCAGACGCAGTTTTTTGTATTTTACTTTTGGTTTTATAATACACACACACACACACACACATATATATATACACACAATTTATTTGCAAACTATTTCTTACCTAATATTTCATTTGTAAGCTCGAATGAATCGGGAAAATGAACGTAAAATTAAGTCTTACTGAGAGGGTTATAGACTGCGCATAACACCGAGATACTTAACAAAATGCGTTCAATACGACATGAAGTTAGCGATGTAAATTGGTTCGCGACAATATTCGTCTCGATTCCAAATGCATTCCAAAACTTATACAAATGCACAGTATCTGTGATATGTTATTTTCAAAGTAAAATATTTTCAATAAAATATGATTTTCAATAAAATTTTCTTCAAGAAGGATATTCTGGAGTGCAATCTTAAGTAGACTATGCAGCTAAGCAAGATATTGGCAACACAGATTTATCAGAGTGATGAGAAGTATGTCAGCACTGCCGGCCGATGGTCGTTGAAACGCTAATTACGTTAATGTCGGCTATGATGAAAAATTACTCTACATTTAATATCAATTCACACCCTTTTACTCTCGCGGCTGTAGACAGGTATGGCGTGTTGCAGTCAAATCATGAGCGACAACGCTACAAAGGTAAAATATATAATTTACACTAACATGTTCACGATTTGTTTTGCGTTTTATTTGCGATATAAGCATATCGAGGTAATACACAAGATGGACGTTGGGAAATCGACAAGAAAGTTCACGGTATTACTTTGTCGGACTTGAAACACAATACGCAAATACATGAGATGATGATTACGTGTGACAGTTTCGTGACGTTGAGCATACCACAGGAAGATGAACATTATCCACTCAACGTGCTCCAAACCATCACTTTACTCTCCATTTGAACGTGAAGCTATTCGTATTATCCGCAGCCTTATCTATTTAACCTATATGTTCATGTCAACTTTTTTTAGAACCTTCGCACTTCTTTCTCCAGTTTTCTACTAATGGTTGATGTTAATGAGCAAATGGTTACTCCGCGTGAATCTTACTCTGAGTAATCCCTCATTGATAAAAGTGTCTCTAAAAAAATATGACTCGTAAATTCAGATTAATTTATAAATATATTTAAAGGCACTTTGACATTGTGTGAATTAATGTCACTATTCACTTCATTTATTGCTTAAACAGTAAAATAAGTTTTTCGTGAAAAAATATCGGTTAACAGGTGCGTGCAAAATGCACCATGAAATGTGTCACAAAACATATGAGATGGAGTGTGGCAAAATTTTGCCTCAACAATAGAAGGATCGATTGAGCCGGGGTTATTCGCGTAGATACGTCGCCTATTCACGGTGTTCTCCTTCCATCGCTAGTCGTTTCAGCACGTCTACCTTAAGGCCCATTCAGACTAAGCAAACAACGCGATTCATGGCGTTTCGTCACGTCGCGCCAACTTATTCTTTTCGCATATTTTCATAAAGTACTCGTTTCATCAGTTCGGTGGGAATATCTCCGCAAGAATACATAGAAAGAATAAATCACGATACGTGCAACTGTATTGGCCTTCAGCCAGCCTGAACGGTCCTTTAGTCTCCCCTACCTCGACCGTAATCGCATGTTCGCTCAGTACCACTCGGTACTGTATACATCGGTGCTAGAGTTAGTAGGGTTGCAGCACGCTAGCGTCAAACATTAACAGTGCTTTTTCAGTTCTCCAGGTCAAATGATATCTTTGGGTTTTTTGGATTCTTGATTATCTTTCTTTCTCTATTTCTTTCTTTTTCTCCCTCTCTCTTCTCTCTTTCTCTGTCTTTCTTTCTCTGTCTTTCTTTCTCTGTCTTTCTTTCTCTCTTTCTCTCTCTCTCTATTTCTTTCTCTTCCCCTCTTTCAGTTTCCCCGTTTATTTTAAACCCTCTGTCATATTTCCTTTCCCCTTACACGTACATATTCGTCCTTCTTCATTTTTTCTGTGAGCACTGTGGTATCTGTTAGTGAAGCTTGTCAGTTATATTCGACATCCGTCTGTTCATCAATCATTTAAAAGGCAAAGACAAAGAGAAAAATGCGGAAAATCTTCAGAGTGAGGTCTATTGTTATTGCCTTGTGCAGCATCTTTCTGCTTGTGTGCCACAATGGTAAGTGTGAGTGAGGGTGTGTCCAAGTGTACCACTCGGCAAGTCTATTTAGATTTGACGTATCGAACGCGGTTTGGATATATTAAAGTACACGGAGGTATATACACGACGATAGCGCGACTGTGCAGAGAAAAGAGATACCATAGCAAGATAAAACAAATGATTTTTTGAGACGTAATGCGCCTTTTCTAAGCGAGATCCAGGCGTTATGATGCAGTCCTAATTTAAGCAGTGATTACAAATGGTCTTTATCACGACGATTTGTCAATCTTCTATGGAATCGTCAACTCGCACTCGCACGAGATTGCACTTCTGAAACGTTACCATCAATAAAAAAATTTATGATAAATCTTACCATCTTACCATCAATAAAAAAATTTAAGATAAATCTTAAATATCTTTCGCGAATGATCGTGATTCCTTTCGATAATTAACCAAAAAGATCTGTCGAATAATCCTGGCGAATATAACCCTCGATTGACTTTCCTATAACTGAGCAATTAATATTTCACGGACACGTTCGGTGAATATGTAAACAAACATCTAGTCGATCTAAGAGGTATATTCTATAATTTTTAACAACATCGTTATGAATCATTGCGTAGATTTTTTATATTATGAAATAACTGCGCAGCGATACATAGCGACATCATTAAACGTTATAGAATAAGCACCTAAATAGCTTATAGAGATCTTACGATCTCATCAAGGTTTGCAGGAAAAGGAACATTTGTCACGTGTAGCAGCGCTAAAAATACGAAGCGCTCTAGCGTGACGTAAATTAACTCTCATCGCGTCGTTATAATTTTTCATCCCCGCCCGCTCTCTCGTGATGATACACGCGCGCGCGCGCGCGTGTGGTGTGCGGATTTTTTAGTAGGTCTGTTCTTTTTTATTTCGTTATTTGTTACTGAACCTGTTATCAAGAAGTTATCAACCATTATCAAATTTAGAGAATAACAAAATAAACGGTTATTTTTATCAAGTTATAATTTTACAAGAGCAATAATGTTTAAGATACAAATTAGCTGTTTAGGCAGAGTCTACGAGCGGTATCCATAGTCGAGAGCCGTATTCTTAAAAAATATCATATACGATGTTTCGATGAAAAGTTATAATATATGTAACATAGACTATAGTTTCTCGTAGAAATATTGATATTTTTCGAGAATGACACTCCATATCTTATATTTAAAATCTAAAGTTCATCTTCAGATGCTGTATGGATCATTTCATTTCATGGGACACATCGGAAGATAAATTTGAAATGATCTTAAATATAAAATCTAACTATGATCACCGGCCTACAATAGGTATAATAAACTCTAAGACATAAGAAATTGACTAATCATAGTCGACTATTTTTCTCATATTCGATTGATCAATTTCTTAAGGCTTTAAGCCAGACCTGCTTTATGTTAACATTAAACAATTATTGTGCACGAAATTTGACATTTTATATTCATATATTTAGACTGTTTATATTCATATGTTCAGGCTATATCTGTCGCTGAATGCAACCAATATTTTATGACTGAATAAGAGGTCTGTTTTTTTTAGCTGAACTGCCTAAGTACGTATTATGGACTCGTCTGCAATCAATTCCGCAATCGGAAATTTCTATTTTCCCCAGAGAACACAATAGAAATCTAAGGAATAACTAAGGATGAAATTACACGGTGCGTAATAGAACTGCGGAATAGAGAATGCGTCATAAAAGCAACCAATCAGCGCTATTCTGCTCTTTTCTATCAGACTGCTTCCCTTGATTGATTGGTTGCTTCTATTAATCGTACTCTTTATTCCGCAGTTCTATTATGCACCGTGTAATTTCACCCTACGAGCCTCCGTACAAGAACATCCGTAACATGTTAAGTTTACGGATTTTTTTGTGCGTTGACTTAAGTTTAAGTTTACGTACAGGTATGGCCATTGTATTGTCAGTACTTAACGTAACGTATCATACCAGATAGCAAGAGAATTCTAAAAGAATTCAGTCGAATATCACCAATTCTGAGTTGATTTTTAAATACAAAAAGAATTCTTTTCATTAAACTGAACTCTGAAGAATTCTTTTTACATCTGAAAATGAACTCAGAATTGGTGACATACGACTGAATTCTTTTTGAATTCTTTTTAAATTCTCTGTGCTATCTAAGATGTTACGGATGTGCTTGTATGTTGGCTCTAAAGGTGCGGGTCCAATGGTCCGTAAACATATCCGTATCCGTAACTATAAACAAAATCGAGTCATCATTGGTCGTGATATATATCACGACCAATGACGACTTGATTTTGTTTATAGTTACGGATACGGATATGTTTACGGACCATTGGATCTACACCTTTAGGGGCGCTGCACACGAATTGACATAACAGTAACGTAAGACGTACCGTAAAAATGGACCAATTACAATTGAGTATTCACAAAAATGGCGACCTTACAGTTCGACGATACTCAAAGTGATTGGTCAATTCTTAAGCTGATGATACATAGAAAAACTTAAGCAATAAAACGTAAACAGTAAGTAAATTGACCAATCACAGTCATTGATTCTTCTTACGGTCCAAGAATCAACGAATGTGATTGGTCAATTTGCTTACTGTTTACGTCTTACTGCTTAAGCTTTTTTGTGTGCCATGGCCTTTACGATCTTACGTCTTACGTTACTGTTATGTCAATTCGTGTACGGCGCCCCTAAGGCTAGTGGCACATAAAAAAACTTAAGCAGTAAAACGTAAGCAGTAAACAAATTGACCAATCACAGTCATTGATTCTTTTTAAGGTCCAAGAATCAACGACTGTGATTGGTCAATTTGCTTACTGCTTACGTCTTATTGCTTAAGTTTGTTGTGTGCCACGGCCATAACATGTTACGTTACGTTAAGTACTGACAATACAATGGCCATACCTATATGTAAACTTAAACTTAAGTCAACGCACAAAGAAATCCGTAAACTTAAAACATTCCAATAAGTTAGCTTAAAACAAAATATATTTATCTTGCTGTAACTTATTGCACTAGTTCAGGCAGTTCAGTTAAAAGGAACAGAAAAAAAGTTTACAAGCAATGACTGCTTAATTAGTTAAGCTAATCGATAACCAGCTAATTTGTCTTCTAACAATATATTGTAGTAATTTGTTAGTAATCGTTTAAACGAATAAATGTTTAAATAGATGATTATTATGAAGTAACAGTAACTTATAACAGTAGTTATAACCGTTTAGTAAAAGTAAGGGCCATCAAATTGTCGTAACCGTAGTCATAATAACTTAAGCTGAAGAACCAATCAGGATATTGCTGTAGATTTACGTATTCCAAAAGATAATAAAAGTGACACTACCGGTTGAAATCTAGTTATTTTTGCGTAAGATAAAACTTGTCACACTTTTATAATCTTTTGGAATACATAAATCTATAGCAATATCCTAATTGATATTTCAGCTCAAGTTGATGTATTAGTCTCGAGCCACAATAAGTATAGTAAGCTTTAAGCCTTAAGAAATTGACCAATCACAGTCGATTATTTTCCTCAAATTTGACTGTGATTGGTCAATTTCTCAAGGTTTAGCTTATTACACCTATTGTGAATCGGGATTTATGGCAACGGTTACGGCGATTTGTGTGCGAAGGCCCTTAGGGCCTTCACATACAATCGACATAATAGTAACGTAAAACGTATCGTAAGAATTGACTAATCACATTGAAAATCGTCGAACCGTAAGGTCGCCATTTTGATGAATACTCAATCGTAATTGGTCAATTCTTACGGTCAATCGTAATTGGTCACGTCTAACGTTACTGTTATATCAATTTGTGTGTGAAGGCTTTAAGGGACGTCTACATTGGAAATAAATAGCAAGAAGTAGGAAGTAAGAGTAAGAAATTGACTAACCACAGTCGAATGTGATAAGAATAATCAACTATGATTGGTCAATTTCTTATTCTTACTTCCTACTTCTTACTGCTTACTTCCAATGTAGACGTCCCTTTAAGGGCCTTCGCACACAAATCGCCGTAACCGTAGCCATAAGTTCCGATCCACAATAGGTGTAGTAAGCTTTAAGCCTTAAGAAATTAACCAATCACAGTCAAATTTGAGGAAAATAATCAACTGTGATTGGTCAATTGTGTTATGTCAATTTGTGTGGAGGCCACACACGAATTGACATAACAGTAACGTAAGACGTACTGTAAGAATTGACCAATCACTTTGAATATCATCGAACCGTAAGGTCGCCATTTTTGTGAATACTCAATTGTAATTGGTCCATTTTTACAGTACGTCTTACGTTACTGTTATGTCAATGCGTGTGCGCGCCCCTTAGGGCCTTCACACATAAACTGCCATAGCCATAACGTATGACGTACCATAAGAATTGACCAATTACAATTCATCAAAATGGCGACCTTACGTTTTGTTGACACCTTACGTTTCGACTATTCTCAATATAATTGGTCAATTTTTACGGTACGTCTTATGTTACTGTTATGTCAATTTGTGTGTGAACACTAGCCTCTAAGCTAGTGGCACACAGAAAAACTTAAGCAGTAAGCAAATTGACTAATTACAGTCGCTGATTTTTCTTACGGTTCAAGAATCAACGATTGTGATTGGTCAATTTGCTTACTGCTTACGTCTTAAGGTATCTTTGCATGGGAGCATCGAGCGTCGAGCGTAAAGCGGTAGCCAATTAACGTGCCACTTTCCACAAGAACTACAAGTATACTTCTGGGATCTGATATGTTGATTGGCTAACGCTTTAACGCTCGACGCTGGAACGCTCCCATGTATTGGCACCTTAACTGGTTAATTTTTTCTATTTTTTCACGGTTCTAAACCCATCCCTATCGGGGCGTCAGAGGTAGTGCAGCTGCATTGATTTTTCTACGTGGTAGCATCGTCGAGAGTTCGATGAACTATGGCCGATATTCATAGTCCGATTTTATATCTAAGATCATCTTAAGTACTACTTTAAAATGTCACTTTAAAACCAATCACAGAGCTGTATTCGCATCTTAAGACATTACTTAAGACGGTTTTGAAATAAGATTCGACTATGAATACTGGCCTATATGCATGTAACGTGCTAACGTAAAGATGGCCGATTAACAGAGAGCAGCGTTGTTACTTCTGCACCGTTGTCCAGCATTCATTTTCATGATAGCTGTGTTTCCCAGAAAAAATGCAACAATTTCTTATCTATTAGAGACCATTTCTTGAAGCTACACATATTTGAATGTGAAGCTCGTGCAATGTCTCTCTCTGAACCCTGGATATTACTCCATTATTAATTGTGCAGACAAATATGGGCCTGAATGATCTGTTATCGCTGAAAGCGCTCGTCAAAGCGGTTTACAAACCTTCTGATTGGCTGCAAGCTACTTTTAGAGACGCTTTTAGCGACAGGACCTTTGTGTTCAAGAAATTGCGATGCGTGTCCTCGGAATACGCGAACGCGATCGCCGTAATAGGCCGCGATTTAGCACGCCGAGAGAGCGGAAAGGCTTTAATAAATTAATACATCGCTCGAGCTTGTCTGATTATCTTCTTCCCATTGCGATCTTTAGCCTTATTATCGCTCCTATGCGAGCGCGTCGCTCGTAATTTTATAAAAATGATACCACGATACCACAGAGAGATAAATTAGAAGAGTATAGCTCAGCATCGCATCGCCGCAGCGACATTATATTACAATACATTTCACATATGCAGCTTGGAAACGCTTAAATCTTTCGTCGTTAGGAGATAAGAGTATGAAATTCGATACGCGATCTACGGAACGTACGAAGACTCGTCTAATAATCACGCAAGCTATAATCGAGTAGTATTTTCTTTTGCAGAAAATGTGAGGCTGCATTCATATACAGGCTCATGCGTACGATAAGAGAGCGAGAACGAGACAAGAGAAAATAAATCGACCATAATATATTTTACAGGCGTGGAAGCTATGCAATGTTATCAGTGCAATAGCCGCAACAACAGCCAGTGTGCCGATAATAAGCCTCCAGATACTATGAAAATAGATTGCTCGGATCTCAAGGATGGCTCCAAATATACCATGTGTCGAAAAATCACGCAAGTCATCGAATTCAGCGTCAACGGCCGTACGTGTGTCAATATATTACATGAAGACTTTCAATCGCTAATTAATTTATCATGCATAATTGATACTGCGCGCAATTAACTTACAGTCAGAGTTCAATTATTGACATTATTATTATTATTTCTTTTATGCAGTACCACCTGACACGCGAGTTATCCGAGGTTGCGGTTGGGACGAGTCGAATTATAAAGGCAAGTGTTATCAACGAAGCGGCTTCGGGGGTCGACAAGAAGTCTGTTCCTGTTTAACTGATTATTGTAACGTAGCGATGCCCGGGATGACGCCGGCTCAAAGTCTCATCCTTCTCTGCTCTCTAATCAGTGTATCGCTAGCGTTCCTAAATTAGTCTTAAGAGATATCTGAGCCAGCGTAGAATTCGAGTACGAGTACAGCGGAGGCTGCATAGTGGTAGTAGGAAGATTAATATCAGCGTGCTTTTGCTGCTGCAAATTCGAACGATAGTTATTACTAAACACATACCAAAGTGAAGAGCAATGTCGAGGAACAATGTTTCGCCAACATGAAGAATCTTAATTGTAGAAGGAACAAATGGCCTCTTGGGTTTATACATATATACATACATACATACATACATACATATATATATATATATATATATATATAATGTCTAAACCAGTTTGGAAAAATATGCCTTTTTGATTATGTATATTGTACTGAATCTCGAATTGTACTCGAAGCGGCGTAACTCGAACTATACAACGATTCAATTGGCTTATTGATTAATTGTCGTATTGCTAACACGAATCAACTTGTATTCTAGTTTCTCACTATATACATTTTTTCTTTTAACGATACATATTATGCAATCTAAGTGACTCACGCATGTAGATACAGGAAAAAGCTGTTTATTCCTAGTTCTTTAAGTGGTCTCTACACATTTTTAATGTATCACTGTAAACAAATAGGAGTTTCCTTGTAATGTCTTTTTGTATATATACTTGACAATTACACTACAACAAGGGAACATATAATGTGTATTAAATTTAGCTGTAAAAAGTATCTTATTGTCAATAAAGGCTTATGTAAAAGCAGACTGGTATTTTATTTCTGATCAATACTACCTTTATTAAATTTTGTTTTCAATTTTATTATTATTTGGTAATTGTCATAAAATATGAATTTATAGGTAATGCATACTTGTGCATTTAATACAAATTAAAGAAATGATATAACTTCATAAATATATACAAAAAGTACATTACATACGTTATATATAAAAGTTAATGACAGAAAGACAACATTCAATAGGCTGCGTAATTTCCGTAAAAATCTTGAAATGATTCAAAAAGTATTATACAACGAAAAGTCTTTAAGATAGAGTAAAACGACGAGTGACTCGTCTTTGAGTAACTTTACTTTAAAAAATAAAGGTCCGCGTGATCCTCAATGACGTATATATACATAGATAGGGCTGCGTTCCAAAATTCTACTTGGTGGGTAGAGTACATTTCATTGTTCAATCATGATAAAGATATCCTAATTATCTTTGTTCTTATTGGTCAATTAAATGCTACTCTACTTGTCGAGTAGTGTTTTGGAACGTAACCCAGGAGTCGTAGACAAATCCTGAGTTGACTTCAGAGGCCTCATGCGGGAAAAGTCCGAAGCTTCTGCCTCTGCGGTAAGTTATGTCCACACATGCCCCAACAAGCGTATTGTTCGCGCGGACGCAAGGACAGGAAAGTTGGGTTAAGTTACCCAGACAGCACAAGATCCCCTGAGGACATCCTAAGGACGTCCTGAGGACGAATAATGTCCTCAGGATGTCCTCTGGATGTCCCCTGAACATCTGTGTTATTAGGGTAGTTATAACGTTTTTCATTAGCAGAACTGGTGCGCACTAAGGCTTGTTTACAATACATTTTCATATTTAAGATCGTGTCTTAATACATATTTAAAAATATTTTAAGTTATAAAATGATTCGTACGGATGTTATACATATTATATTACTGGTTAAAAATATTTGAGAATTTATTTAAGACAATCTTTCAATATAATAACATACTGTGAACAAGCTTAGTGCGCACTCAGTGCGCACCAATTCTGCCAATGAAAAACGCTATTAGATAAAACTGGCCACATACACTTTCCGTAACAGTAACCGTAAAGGCCAAATCACACTAGCGATTGGTGATTGACGATTGACAATTAAAGATTAAATTTTAACAAATCAACAAGTTTCAGCCTTGGTTTGCTTTGTTTCAATTGGTCAAGTTCCAATCTTCAATCATCAATTATCTATCGCCAATCGTGATTTGGCCTTAAGAGCTAACGTAAGAATTGACCGATCATGGGCCGTGGCACACAGAAAAACTTAAGCAGTAAGCAAATTGATTCGTATGTACTTGACCGGAAAAAAACTTCGGTTGGAAAACTATTCTTTTGAATCGTTTGTATTTTGTATGAAGAGTTTTGAAGTGCAATTAAAAAGATTTGTGAGTCATTCTATTACTTGTAATTAATTGTTCTTTTTTGGACCATGTATTTAGCCGGAAATAATGACCGGAGGTAAATTAAACAAAGATTCAATATGGTATCGTTTGTATTTCGTATGAAGAGTTATAAAATATCATTAAAAAGGTTTGTGAGTCATCCAGATAATTTTAATTAAATATTAAAAAATCATGTATTTGGCCGAAATATTGATCTCAAGCGCTGCTGTGGAAGTACCGTCAGGCACGATCAGTGTACTATCTAGTATTTCAATACTCCTGGTTCTTTTTCGCGTAATTATATACAATAAGGCCTTTTTCGAATTTTGATATTTTTTTGCAGCTCTTTCGGTAAAAATATTTATTTTGACTCCAACATTGATAATCAATCGAAAGAAAAATATGCAAGTTATATATTGTTTTAACGTTTTTTTTAATTTTTTTTCACTTGTCAAACGTTGCTGCTTTCCCACAATTTAAACAAGTTACTAATCTTTTAATCACATTATGTAACTGCAATATCGAACGACTAGCGGGGGGCTGCACCCCACCCACCCCCCTCAAAACTAACCTAACCCAACCTATCGTAATATTAGCCGTTAGTCATTGTTTATTAAAAAATTATTAAAAAAAAAGTTGAACATTTTAATAGGAGGTAACGAACGTGCAGACGTCATGGCGAAGGGAGCGGTGCACTTGGACACGGTGCATTTGGACACAGCCAATCACAGCACCGTGTGATTAGAGACATTTGTAGGGTCCCTTGGAACAGCGACTTGTGATTGGACTGTGTCCAATTGCCCCGTGTCCAACTGATATACACCCGCAACTTTATACAGTATATTTTATTTTCCAATTGGCAAATATGATCTATCTGACACATGCGCATAACGTTCATAATACACTTAGAAAGAGAGAGAAATATATATTTCCGCACCGTGGTTCTGGGGCCGGAGTTCTCTTTCCTTTAGCAATATAGTAGTATTACATATATGGTATATACCAATATAGTAGTATTACATATATGGTATATACCATATATGGTATATATTAGGTGGTAAACTTAGTTCCTGCGGTTTTTTTGTTTAAAAAACTCATTTATTTCGACGTCAAAAGCAAAAAATATATTAATCGAAGTATTTTCCCTCGCTAGCTATACATTTTTCCCATCTTTCGGGCAACGCGTAGATTCCGCGACGATAGAACGATTGGTCTTTTGATGCAATCTATTCGTCGATCCATTTTCGCACATCCTCGTAATTTCTGAAGTGTGTATCCACCAAACCGTGCTGCATCGACCGGAACAAGTAATAGTCCGAAGGAGCTAAGTCTGGTGAATACGCTGGGTGCGGGAGAACTTCCCACTCGAGCTGCATCAGTGTTTCTTTGACGGCTTTGGCAACGTGTGGTCGAGCGTTGTCGTGCAAAAGCATGACTTTACGTCGATTGCTGGCTACTGCTGGCCTTTTTTCCAACAATGCTTCATTCAGACGGTTTAATTGTGATTGATATCGATCCCCCGTGATACTTTCGTTCGGTCTGAGTAGCTCATAATAAACGACGCCGTGCATATCCCACCAAATGCAAAGCATTGCTTGGTGGCCATGAATATTTCTCTTTGGTATGGATGTCGATGGTTGGCCAGGGTCTACCCATGATTTTCTTCGTTTAGGATTATCGAAGTATATCCATTTTTCATCGCCAGTCACTATGCGCCACAAAAAACTCTTCTTTTTCTGCCTGGCGAGCAGAGAAATAGAGATGTTTAAGCGATTCGCAATGGCATTTGCGGTTAATTCGTGTGGTACCCATTTTCCCTCCTTTTGAATTTTTCCCATTGCATGTAGACGTTTGGAAACAGCCATCGGAGTAACATTTAATGCTGCAGACAATTCTTGGAGCGTTTGAGTAGAGTTTTCGTCCAATAATGCCTGCAAATCGGTGTCTTCAAACTTTTTCGGTTGGCCTGAGCGTTCTTTATCATTGACATCAAAATCACCACTCTTAAATCGCTGAAACCATACTTGGCATGTTCTTTCCGATGGAGCATAATTGCCATAAGCTTCGAAAAGCAATTTATGAGCTGCAGCTGCAGTTTTTTTCAAGTCAAAGTAATGAAGCAGCACATGTCGAAAAAACAACTTATCACGTTCCATATTTAATCAAAAGAAAAAATAGCACTGCTCGCTTAAATGAATCTCTTCGCACTGAATTTTATTGACAAATGTCTAACCTCTAAAATGCAGCCAGTTTCAGATGTCAAAATAAATTACACCTACAACTAACGTCATCTAACTGTGAGCCGCAGGAACTAAGTTTACCACCTAATACATAGATTAAAGGTGCCTTTACATGGGAGCATCGAGCGCCGAGCGTTAAAGCGGTAGCCAATTAACGTGCCACTTTCCGCAAGAACTACAAGTATATTTCTGGAACCTGATACGTTGATTGGCTAACGCTTTAACGCTTGACGCTGAAACGCTCCCATGTATTGGCACCTTAAGCATTCTGTCCGCAAAGTGAAGCCGGAAGTTGGCAATTTAAAACAGAGTGAGAAAGTTTATTTGCCCGA